GGTTTTTTTTAATAGATAGAGTGATTCTTAAGGAAGGTTTGTATGTATAATAAATGCATATTGCACCCGTGCGAAGCCGGGGCGGGTCGCTAGTATACAATATAATAATAATGCAACTTTGATGAAAGTTGATCCTAACTATAAAAAGGACAAGCAGACAAACACTTTACATATTTTGTTTTAATTATTTCTAGTGGCATTGCAGTACACACTATTCTGCCAGCATCCAAACTACCAGTAGTAAATGAAACAATATATTCTAAGGGAGAAGTACTACTACAGAACCTGCCTTCTATTGTCTGTGGATGGGTCCTAGATGCCAAACCAAATGAATGTATTCTAGACATGTGTGCAGCCCCTGGTAATAAAACTACACATTTAGCTGAAATGTCCAATGATCAAGTTAGTATAGTATAAAAATGCAATAGAATCACAGCTTTAGCTTCCTCTTAATAACCCAAAATTATATTTGATTTTGCAATTTCGTCATTATGTCAATCAGCCAGAAGAAAGCTGAACAAAAGGCTCTCACATTGGCTGATAGCTGATCACAATTTTAGGGCATAATTGCATAACAACAAATTATTAAAAGGATTTCTTTTACAGGCAACAATAATAGCTTTAGATAAAACGCCACAGAAGGCTGCAAAAATAAAGGAAAGTTGCGACATTCAAGGAATAACTTGTGTTACGGCATATGCTTTTGACTCAACTAAATGTTGCTCTGAAGAAAGTAAGGGAATAAATAGTGGACCTCCATTCCCACCAAATAGTTTTGATAAAGTGCTGTTAGATGCTCCTTGCAGTGGATTAGGACAAAGGCCACAGTTAGTAAATAAAATGACCCCAAAGATGATAGGTTCTTACAAGTTTGTTCAACGGAAATTGTTTGCTGAGGTGAGTGTACTAGGAACATGTTACAACTGTTATTATTGTAGTTTTAGTTGCAAATATTAACTTAAAATATTTTAATGATTGAGCACCTATAAGGGGTCTCATAAATGGGTAAAACTAATAACAATATGACTTGTTTTAAGGCTGTGAAAGTACTAAAAGTTGGCGGGAAACTAGTATACAGTACATGCACAATAACAGAAGAAGAAAACGAAGGTATGGTGGCCTGGGCACTTGAGAAGTTCCCATGTCTAAAACTAATACCTGCTGAGCCAATCCTGGGCGGAACAGGATTACCCAATAAAGGATTAAATGATGCACAAAGGTAGGTTAAAACATTTATTTTTAAAACGTAAATAAATAATTGCTTACAATATTGGCAAGTTGGCAAGAATCTTTGTAATTAATTAAAATATATTTTGTAAAACATTTTGTTTTCTCTACATATATTATTGGAATTTAATTATCACACTAATATGTTATACTCATCTATAATGTACTATTTCAGATTAATGGTACAGAGATTTGGACCAGAAGACAATGAACTTAGGAAAGTAGATCCTATTTACAAGGATTCTATTGGATTCTTTATAGCAGCATTTTCGAAATCGTAATCGAAGTAGTGGTTATAGACAAAAGAATACTGCCTCATAGATATAAAAAAGGATTTATATGAACTAATGTGAGGCATCACAGATATTAAATATTACTTGGTCAAAGAAGATCCACTACTCTTAATGTAAAATATGGCTAGTATTTTGTGATGAATATACATTTAATCAATAAATTTAAATTAAATACTAATAAATACTGTAGTTTTCATAAGGTACCCTTCTATACTTGATCAGTGTTTATATTATTTAATTCGTATTTTAATTCCATGTCGATATTATTTGGTTAATAACAATCTTTTTCTAAATGCAACATAATTACTTTGTACTATAAAGTTGTACAATAAATATAAAATATAACTTAATTTATTTTTCAATGAGTAATATGTATATAAATATTGTGTATATCAAAAATACTCATGGGATACCTAAATTATATGGCTTCTACACGAACCCATAAACCACCACGCGCCTTCAGCAGAAGTGACCTTCTGTCAAATTGTATTGGGTCTTCTGTCTTCTCACATGGCGAAAATCTAAACTTCTTCACGAGGTCAACCATCGCTAGTTTTGCTGATAACATCGCGAATCTCAGACCTGTAACGAAATGATAAGGGACAATTATGCAATAATTCTAAGATAAACTCAAGAAAAACAATAATAAAAATATGATGAAACATTAGATCAGAGAAATAAATTGTGTACTTCATTATAGAGGTTTTTTTATTGGAAGAGGATGCTTGCTAGGATTTCTTTTAATGTTGTAGTTGTTATGTCAGTATTATAGTTACTTTTTTATATATATTTGATGGGCCGACGTTTGGCCACAATCTCGCCTGGTGGTAATGATGCGGTCGACGATGGAGCACGTCGCGTCATCCCATACGCAACGTCCACGCAATCTATTCACTCGTGCCTTTAAGACACCTCATTCCTTACTTTTGATTATGTGGCATACACACACATTTGTAGTCTTGTGTAACCATACCTCATGAATATTCCATTGTGACTTGAAACTAATTAATCTTTTCTCAGTCATTTACGTGAGTAAATCGTATGTCTTACAATAGTTATTATACAAAAATGCTATATGTACGTATTTTTTACTTACCAATACAATTTCTAGGGCCGACACCAAACGCCATATACAAATGAGATGCTCTCTCACTCTTGTTTTCATTTAGGAATCTCTCTGGTTTGAATTCTTTCGGTTCGGGGTAATGTTCAGGGTCCATTTGAATACCATACAGAGGTATAGCCACCACTTCGCCAGGTTTGATAACAACGTTTGTTCCAGGAAGATTATATGGCTTTGTGCACACCCTGTCCACACGAGATACAGGGGGATATATACGTAATGTTTCTGAAAAAATAATGTTCCACATTAGAAAAGATGTTAATACTATACAAAGAGGTTTGTTATCATATTCCACTCAATTACTGTTTGGGATAGAGCTACTAAAGTGGTCCATTAACATCATTCTAATTTTAAAAACTACGCAAGTATCTACTAGGCTAGTATATCTTATAAAACCATACATTTTGTCCATATCGCCTACGATTAAACTTCAATTCTCATATATTAAGTAAAATACCAATTTGCCTAGGTTGTAATCTTACATAAAAATTGTAGGTCATTGACATCGATTGACGACGTTCATAATCGCTATGTAGAAAGAACTTGCCCCTTGACATATAGAGATTTCACACGATTGAAACCCGTGTTATATTCCTATCACTTTATTACTAAGCGTGACTAATTAAATATAATGTACACAGTGTTATCTACACTGCAAATTGCATTTGTAAATACTTGGTAACATTTATGTGTGATCTAATAGTAGGTATAATGTATGTTCACAGTACATGAACATAATAAATTTTGGTATTAGAATTAAATATTAGCTTCAATAAACATGATAAACTAACCACGTTCTGTCGTAATGTTAATTCTACACGTGTAATACTACTATAGGGCGAACTAAAATAAGTTTAAACTAAAAAAAGGTAAGATATAACTAGGGCAAACATGCTGTAGGAACCTACTTGTAACTAGTGGTAATTGACTGACCAAGTTAGCATTGTGTTCAAGGATTTATACTGCACAAAGTAAATTAAATACTTGGCTATAAGTAGGTATGCTTATTTAGTTAATTAAGGTTTTTTTATTATCAATTAGTTTTTTGTATATTATTATAATCTTATCTTATCATAATTTAAAGTTGTAAATATTTTAGTTTTTATTGATTGTTATATTTTTCTTTAGGTATATTAATGTTAAGTATATTGTGAAAGGGAATATTTAAAATATTTTTAAAGATTGACTAAAATTTAATAGTAATTTTAGACACACAATAATAGTAATTTTAGACCACGTTTAGACACACAATAGGTTAATAACCTATTGTGTGTCTAAACGTGGATCCACGCGAGACACAATGTTTTTTCTATTGTGTCCTTTATACGGGCATTCAAGTGGTTAAGGATTAAATTGGACTTAAGTTATTACATACTCTGTAGGTGTAGGTATACAGATTGGATCTGTAAGCAATATAATATTTGTGCCGTTGAAAAGGTAACTACCAAGGTAATTCAACCTACTGCTATTTTAGTAGTACTGCAGTTCACTTCGGTTCAACCTCAAATCTTATCAAATATTATTGAGGTTGCAAACGAAACACATAGTAATAATAATGAGGAATATAAGTAAAACAGATACTGAACAATTGGGTACTTGCCAATTAGCCAAATTCAAAACTTTTTCGAACGACAATTTTCTATGAATTTTGTACGAGATTGTGTATTGTCAAGTTTTTTTAGCGTCAAACGGCTTACTTGTTTCTTAAAAATTTTCTGGAATAATACTAAAATTAACTTGGTCATAAAATTTTTTTTTTTTTTTTAATTTTATTGTTTTGAACAGTCGAAATAATTTATTTTTGACGAAGGCAAGTAGGTACGCAATTAGGAGACTCACCCAACAAAAATCCATCAAGATATTGCAACTTCGCAAGGAGATCATAATCCACTTCTTTTCCCTCTGTCATCTCAATGATATGGGACCTTAACTTGTCTTGTATCTCAGGTTTGGTAGCCAGGACGTATATAGCGAAGGAAAGTAAAGTACTGGAGGTCTCATACCCAGCTATGAGGAATAATAGCAGCTGAGCGTCCACGGTCGCGTCATCTAAATCTATGAAGGCATAAAGATATTAATAAGGATTGTTATGTTTATTCTACCATAGGTACCTATATGTATGAAAACTAGAGACTTAATTACACTGTAGGTGTAAGATTTTATGCAGTGTGAGTATAGGTTTACGTATTGGAAATCTAAACCCGTGATTGCACTGCAGGTAGCTTGTCCTGTACCTTCCTGGGTATAAGATTTCATGTAGTGTAAGTACCAACTAACCTACTATCTTCATATCTTCCTTTGTGTTCTTATTAATATGTTTATACAATTACATATCACAGCATCATTTACATTAGATAACTTTAAATGCAAAATAAAGTGCAGGTAATGTTTCTACTACAAGTAATCAATGTGAGTACTCACGAACAGTAGACTTTGTTTTCTCAGATTCAGATTTTTCGGTTTCGGAGAAGTCAATAAGGATTTGAAGAAAATCGTTTTGCCTGCAAAGAAAATACATTTAGAAAAATACAAACTCACTAATTTAAAAAAAACTAGGTGTATTAAAAAAAACTAACTTAACGCCCGATTTCTGTCGCTCATCCTTTGCAACATTCAGAATTCTCACCAACTCCTTTGAAGAGTCCAAATTCAGAAACGAAAAGTTCAAGTATTTTATTAGCTGAGGCACGAATATTAAGATAAAATACAGCAATATTCTCTTATGCATCGGCATGTAGTCAAACTTCTCTGCTACCTAAAATATAAAAATACTATTATTAGTAGGTATGTGTAATGACTAATGACAATTCAGGGCATCTTAAGTCCTGACAAACTTTATTCCGCTTCTTCCACATTCATCACAAACGAATTTTAAAACGTTCGATTTCAAGGACAGGTTTTCATAATTCGATTCGAACACTTTTCTCTCTGAGTACCGTAATTATAGACACAATTAAAGAACAATAGGTTGCGGTCACCGGTGTCCTCGCGGTGTTTGACAGTTTAAATAAACTTTTTATTTCGAACGGTGAGCAAATAAAGAACAGTTTGGAGCGTTCTTTATTTGAAAAATCATTCATCATCTGATTGGAGGAGAATCCTCCATCTGTACTATTCTATTGTTATATTCAAATTAATTTTATCTAATTACTTACTTTGAAGAAGTGCGCATTCTCATCCGACAAGGCATCACATTTGACACCGAATGCACATGCCCCAATTACTTCTAACGTAAAGTGGCCTATTGTTTGCTTCATCTCTACATCCTTCTTATCTGTAAATTGTAAACATTACTATGTAATTAAATGCTCTCGTGTTTCTATAATAACTTTTTAATATATATTTGATAGGGTAGTTGACAGAGTATGGAAATTAAAAATGTGATTACTTAGTCCTTGAGTTAGATAGGTAATGAAAATATATTACGCCACGTATTTTTTTATTCTCTTGTATAAAGTTACAATACTTAGATAAAATAGAGTTAACTAAGTTAAGTAGGAGTGAGAGGTCGTGAGTCATCTCACAATATTCCAAATTATTAGGTATATCGTCGAAAATATTTAATTTTGTGCGGAAGGAAAAAATACGTGTCTTATGTTTTAAATTAATCTAACAGACGGACATTAAAATAAAATTTAAGAAACGATCCTGTTATAGGTATTGTACTTTATCTCATTCTTCACTTGTCTTAATCTAAAGAACAAGAAATTACCTAAATACAAAATCTTGTAACAAAGAACCCAAAAAGAATAAAATAAAATAGTTTTAATAGGTACTGCTATGTCATTGTAAGATTTTAGCTATTTTAGCGCAAAACTAAACACGCAAACGGCGCGTGCGAAAAATACTATCCTACCTACTTACGTACGTACCTACCAACTTAAGAGATTTTAACAAATCTTAATTTACAGAAAGGTCAAAGGATTTTAAGTTGTATTATATTCGTTTTGAAGATAAATTACATCTGCAGCTAGTACTTGGTTTTTTAAAACAGTATATTATATGTCTCCATAAAAACCGGTTGAATAGCTTATGAGACTGGTTTTAAAATTGCCTACATACCTACATACTACTTATTATGTTTTGTCTAGTTTAAAGTAAAATCTTATACACGATTTATCAAATAGATGTCAATAAGATAACGGTTCTAATACTAGTCAACAACTTAGTGTTGAGTAATATAGAAACAACATGATAATATAATCAGAACCACTTGAGTAAGATTTAAAGAAATATTCACCTACCTAAAATAAAATTAATATAACTAAGTTCGAACCAAAATCATAGATTTCTACTACGTACATTTTATAAAGTATATGTCGCAGTAAGATAGATAAAGCCGTAATATAGTTATATCACTAAGGATATAACACAATTTTATTATACATACAATACCCCCTATTACATGGGACTTAAAACATAAATAGTGAAAAGTTGGTGTTACATTGTAGTGGCATTAAGTGCCGTAATGTGCACCTCTGCGTGGGTACGCAAGGTAAGGTACGAAGGGGTCTTCGGGAATAAAAGGTGTGATGTTATACATACACACAATACATATACATAATATATTATTAGCTTATATATTTTTGTAAATGCTAATAGATAATTGATGCGTAATAATTACACCAAGTACGCATAATTGTGTCAGACATTCATAATTATAAATAAACAATGATAGTTCACTGCGCAGTGGCTATTATTATTATCCCAATAACCCAATTTACATTATCATAGGAAAACAGATTTTACATATTGACTGCATGGTTGGTGCGGTGGCTGCGCAACCGGCTGCCGTGCAACGTATCGGGGATTCTATTCCCGCACGGAACAACACTATGTGTGATGTACAAATTGTGGATTAGTTATTAGGGGATATTGTGTAATAAGTTTACTTATAATGTGTACCTGCATTTATTGTATTAGGTGTGCCTGTGATGATAAATGTAATGTTTAAATATAAATAAATAAAATATTGTATACTTCTACTTACCATATTGATTCAGAAACTCAACCATTTGTTTAGAACACATTTCAATGAGCGGAAGCATATGTCTAAGACGTGATGAACTGAAGACGGGTGTTAATGTACTTCTAACCGCTTTCCATTCTGAGCCCTGAAAAAAATATTATGTTAAAGACAAATCCTCAACAGAAAAATGATTCCTGCTGAATTTGCCTGGCCTTGCCTTCCCTAATCTTGCCACTAGCTGTAATTTCATAAATTACAACAAACATCCTGTAATTTTTGTTATTGCCAAGTCATGCAATTTAAGAGGATAATTGGAATGTTCAAATTAATTGTGAATCAGCTTAAGGCTCTTGGACTTTTGGACTTTGAACTATGCATTCATTTGGAACTCTGTGGAGTCGACCTTTGCCCACCAGGAAAACAAACCAGTTTTTTATGTGGATGTGGATTGACTTTTTGCAGGTGGATTTTTTTCAGTATTTTTGGATGAGATTTGCATTTATAAACTATTTTTATCGTTTATGCGAAGTCCAAGAGTTATAATATACTTATTAATATGAAAATAATGCCTGTCTGCATTCCGTATCACATTCAACTTAAGGGTTTGATTGCCAATAAAAACCTGTTGAAGGCAAATTCTCCGCTTACATCTGTCACCGGTGAGCCCCATGGCTTTTAACGTGTTAAACATTATTGACATGAATTATAAAATTCCTAAATTACACTATTTTTGTACATGCGGGAATAAAAGACGTTATGTTATGTTACACTATTTTAAACAGCTACATTATAAACGATTTTTATTATTTACAAGTCATGCAATATAATATGATATTGTGGTGTTCACATTAATTTGTGAATCCGCTTAAGGACCATGGACTTTCGGACTTTGATCTATTAGTTTGTAACTCTGTGGAGTTAACCTTTAGCCACCAGAAAAACACATCACTTTTTGTGGAATGATATTTAGAGTGATTTGGAAAAGAAATATTTAGAGTGATTTGGAAAAGAAATATTTTGGTATATTTATGAGTGTGATTCAGCTTAAGGTCCTTGGACCTTGGACTTAGAACTATTATTTTTTAACCAGTGCAGGTTGACCTTTATCCACCAGAAAAACAAAACGGTTTTGTGCGTATTGATTTTTTTACAACAATTTGGAAGAAAAAAGAACTTCGTTCACATAATGATAAGTATGAATCAGTAAGAAGTCCTTGTGGTTGACCTTTGACCACCAGTAAAACAAACTTCTTCTTCTTTCTTATATGGATTCACATTTTGTGATTTTCTTAAGGAACTATAAGGACAACTTTTGATGATTAAAATTTACTACAAGCAGTATGCCAGTATCTTAAATAAATTAATGACAGTACCTTTAAATTCAAAAGAGATCGGCTCCAGAACTTCGGCTCTTTGGCATTCATAGCCATCCTGTCTGTGAAGTGATCGAAGTCCCTGATTGTTATTGCTTTGATTAAGTCAGGGTCAAGAATTGTCAACAGTGGTCTTCTTCCTTCAAATATTCCTGCAATGAAGAAAGAACAAGAAGAAAATGCATATCAGAGCTTTTTTATATAGATGGGACTGATGTTTGACCACTATCTCGCCTGGTTGTAAGCGATGATGTGGTCTACGATGGAGCACGTCGACCCATAAGCAACCTATTCACGCTTATAAATAAGGTCTATTAAAGAGCTTTTGTACTTAAATGGAGCCTATTTATTAGAACTAAAAGTATTTTTAAAATATTAAAAAAATGGAGTTCCATGGTCTCTGCCTACCCTATGAAAGACACATAGGTTATGTATGAATATAAAAAAATATTAGATTATATATAAGATTTTCATTGTCCAACTTTGGATTGTAATAATTTTTCTCATATATAGACTTCAATGATTTATTATAGCAAGAATTGGTTTCAATAGTTAATATTACTAAGATAGTTCTTATTAATAACTTTTGTTTGATACATAAAATATCTAAGGTTTTTCGAACCTTAAACTGTCAAACACCAAGCAGTCACCGGTGACCGCAACCTATTGTTCTATAATTATTGTGTCTATAATGACGGTACTCGATGAGTTAATTAATGCATGTATGGGCAAAATGAACAATCACATATTTTAGCAATTAGATGCAAAATTCATTTTAATATTTTAATAATAACAAATAAAGTGAAAGGTTCTTGTGATAAAACTTTCTAATGGAGCTTTGAATTAGAAAGTTATGAATGAATACAACTTTAAATGTTTGAAATAAATAAATTTAACCATTAATTGTTACTAATTTATTAAAATGTTTATTCATGACAGTAGAGTTTGTTATTGTGTATTACTTTAGTACTGAGCTTTAAAATTGTTTACTTTAATATTAAGTAAATACTATAGCAGTGTCAAAGCATAGTGTGTCAAAATTAAGTTTTAATTTAGAAAAAAGTTCGTCTTACCTCCAAAGCGATTTCCTTTAAAATAATTATACGTTTCCAATTGGAATTCGTGAAATGATTGTTTGCCTCTCAATCTAGGGCCTAAGTTTCCCAAAAATATAACTGGCTTTCTGTATGGAATACCACGTTTTTCGAAAAAATTAAATGTGCTTGTATAATAAAGATACAAGCTAGTTAAAATAGTAAGGCACAGATACATTTTCCAATCCTCCATCATCATTAGAAGCAATGACTTTAAGCCACCCTTAAGTTGATCCATTAATATGTCCATTTTCACGATCAAATGTGGTAATTCCTTGATTACGACTAGCGCCGGTGTTTCGAATTTTATTAATAAATATTGTTATTTATTACGAATTCATGCACGATACGCGTACTACCAGGAAGCTACCTATCAGTCAACTGATTTGAATTTTATTCTTCAAAATAATGCAATGCAAAAATATTACTTTACAACTGTCATGAATTATCAGTGTCAGCTGTCAGTGTTATGACATTCTGCCATAGAGTAAATTCTTCTGTACTTTTTATGCGATGGCCATGCAACAGGCGAGCAGAACTGAGCAGCACAGCACAGCAATAATATTGCGCAATATTATTAATTTAGTGTGAACATAGGTACGTAGTATCTCTAAGTAGTCTGTGGTGTGAACTTTGGCATTACAATGACATAGTTGACATTCGATTGATCTGACACTGACAAAATATCCACGACTTGCGAATTCGTGCATGTTTTTGCTTTACTCTGTAACATCGAAAAGTTCAATTTCTTGAAATAAATATGGGCAAAACTTCTAAAGATAAGAGAGATATTTACTATAGATTAGCTAAAGAAGAGGGATGGCGAGCCAGAAGTGCTTTTAAGTTACTGCAAATTAATGAAGAACACAATATATTTAAGGGTGTAACACGCGCTGTGGACCTATGTGCAGCTCCCGGTAGCTGGAGTCAGGTTCTAACAAAAAATCTGCGACAAAATGCGGCTAATGTAGAGGACGTTAAAATTGTTGCTGTTGATTTACAAGCAATGGCAGCTCTTCCTGGTGTAATACAAATACAGGGCGATATCACAAAACTGTCTACAGCAAACGCTATAATCCAAGAATTTGAAGGAATGAAAGCTGATTTAGTAGTTTGTGATGGAGCTCCAGATGTAACAGGTCTTCATGATATTGATGAATATGTGCAGTCACAGTTGTTGTTAGCTGCACTCAATATTACAACACATGTATTAAAGATAGGTGGTGTGTTTGTGGCCAAAATATTTAGAGGAGAAGATATCTCTCTTTTATATTCCCAATTGAAGCAGTTCTTTGAATATGTGACGGTATCTAAGCCAAGAAGTTCAAGAAATTCAAGTATCGAGGCTTTTGTAGTGTGTCAAAACTATCTGCCACCTGAAGGATATGTACCAAATATGGTGAACCCATTGCTAGACCATAAATATTGTGACTTTAATCAGTTTACAGGCCCTAATAGGTTTATTGTACCATTCAATGCCTGTGGGGACCTAAGTGCATATGATTCTGATACATCATACCCGCTGTTGTTGGAAGGGCAAACATCCTATGAATACAAAGAGCCTGTACAAAGTCCCATCAATCCACCTTACAAAGATATTTTAGACAAAACTAAAAATATGAATTTAAAAAGTACATAAATTAACTATTTGCTTCATACCATGTATGTTGAATGATTGTTAATGTGTAAAAGCTAACTCAACCGCAGTATAATAATGAATATAAGTGTACAATGACATTTAGTGTATGTAAATAATTAAACATATTTTATGAATTTGTAATAAAACATGTTTTATTTTATCATCCAAAATATATGAAAATTAACTCGTCGAGTACCGGTTTTGTAGACACAATTATAGAACAATAGGTTGCGGTCACCGGTGACCGCTTGGTGTTTGACAGTTTAAGTTAACTCACCTATCTTTATAACTGTTCTAAAAATTCCTTGTTAAAAGGTAACATTAGGTTCTTTAATTAACGAACACGCAGAGCTGCGCAATTTTAGTTTTTTTATACCATGATGGCAGGATCAACCGATGCTCCGCCGGAACCAAGAATCGAACCAGAAACCATTATTCACGCTAACAGCAGCTTAGGCGTAGATTAGATTACATCGTGATCTTATTTAATATCGAATACCTCTCACACGAGATAACAATGAGTTTTAAAACCCATATATCAACCAAGAAGAAATAATCAAAAACCTCCTTTCGATTCGTAAATTATAAAAAAATTAATACCAGCACGTAAACATCCATCGACTATGGAATTTATTATCATTCAAAATTATTCTAACTATGTAAAATCAAGTCATCAAAATTGATTAACGTAATTTTAAATTGTGCGAAATTTTCGTATTATGATTTAGTCTAAATTACCTACCTTATACATTCTAGATCGAAGAAAAAATTACTAGTTCTTCACAATGGGGAAGTTTGTAATGCCTACATTTAACAAAATTATGGAACAAAAGGTACGTAAAAAAAGTACCTAGGTACCTAACGAAGCGAATATCCTCATACCACGCCTCATCATCAATACATACATAGTATAAAACAAAGTCGCTTTCGCTGTATGTCCGTATGTATGCTTAGATCTTTAAAACTACGCAACGGATTTTGATGCGGTTTTTTTTAATAGATAGAGTGATTCTTAAGGAAGGTTTGTATGTATAATACATGCATATTGCACCCGTGCGAAGCCGGGGCGGGTCGCTAGTATACTATATCTAATTTATCTGTCTCCCATGGGGGTAGCCCTTAATCGACGAGCATGCATTGACACTGGTGACTGTTGAGGAATCGAAAAATCGTAGCATCTTTTAAATTAGATATCTAATTTAGTCAGTCTTTCGTTTATTTATTTAGCCCAATTCTGATGGTAAAAATGAGCCAGTATGGGTTTATCTAGAAAGGGAAATGCTGGAAAATCTCTCGCAAAAACCATACAACGAGAAAGTAGGACAATGGCTCCGATTCCTCAAGGAGTTGAAAGCTTATTTTCACGCAGAAGGTAACATTTTACTTTTGTTATTTGTACCTTTTATTTTATGAAACAAGTACCTACAACTTATTCCTGTTTAACTATCTACATGTTAATTGTTATTGTATTTACCAAGGAAGATCAATGTAAAAACACAAAAAAAATTAATACGTTCAAAAATACGGAAGGTACCTAAATGATATTCAAACTACCCACATAACATCTAAATACTTATCATAAGTTTTGTTCATAAGATATAAGAAAAGCAAAACGGTTGGAAAAAGAAGTTGGACCTCGGTGGTACGTGGAACTCTCAAGCCCGCAGAGGCAGGTTCTTGCTCGAATGAAACGTATGATCCATCAAGACTTGCTAGAAGATGTGACTCGTCGCATGCGCAAAGCTCTGTCTGATCTCGGAATCACGAGTAAAATATCGAAGGAAACTTTAATGAAGGCTATGGAAGAAAGTGTTGAGGACCCTGGTGTCTTCTTCTGGAACCTTTATGAAGCTATTTACAAGGCGCCACCGAGTGATCTATTACCTAGTATGTACAGGTTTAGCTTATTTTAAAATTTTTTCGGCTTACTCACGTAATTATTTGAAGAGGAACTCGATTAGTTTCAAGCTAGAGGCTTAAATTCAAGTAGCAGCATTCCGTGACCCGAATATGATCCTTTATTCTTATTTGACCTATTTATTTAGCATATCTGGAATCAGCTACTGACTGCTACTGATTGCGTACGTTACCGCTACATATACGTTTAAATTCTAGGTAGGTAAATACCTACCTATGTAGTTACCTACTCAAACATGCCTAAGATTATTATTAGTGAGGTCAGGTAAAGTTTCTTTATTCTAGAATACGACATGAACGCTATGATTATGATATCGTGCTTGGTATTCGTTGACATGGAAGAGTGTGTAGAAACACTCAATAAAGCAACGGAAAGCAAGAAAATAGTTTCAAAGGAACGTAAAAAACGTAAGTTGATTGAATATATATGTACCTAGGTACCTATATTTTTAACTAGCCATTGCCTGCGACTTTATTCGCATATAATTTGAATCTTGTTTTATCCCATGGAAGCATTTAATCGAGATAAGAGATCCTATCACCTAAGTCAGCCCATACCCTGCCTATATAGGGCCCATACCCTGCCTACACATACATCCAAACAAAGAAACTCTCACATTCATATTATTGTGATTTCAAATACATACGAATGCATCAAATGCATGTTTATTACACGTAGGTATGTTAGTTAGAATGACATCTCTATTGCGCGGTTAGCGCATTGGGTGTCGTGAAATGTGTCACTCACTGGTACGAAGTCCGCGTTGGGTACCTAAACAGTGCTACTACCTGAATAAAGTTTTCTGTATGAAATTATATGGGTAGGTACGTAGACGAGTTGTGGCCTTTCGACACTCTAAGAAACTTAATTCATACGCCGAAAACCCTCATGTATTTGTCTATGGCTCCGAAAACGCGTTAGAATTAATTTACTTCATACAAAACTTACTCCCACAAAAATATAGCAAGTCATTATGTAGCGAATTAGATGAATCATTCTTATTATCAAAATCAAAAACATAATGGAGAATGACAAACTTTATAAACTGCTGCTTGCCGCCAAAGAACTAATTCAAATCCATTTTTAGCGAAAAAGAAAACCCCAAAACCGGATGGAAGATATGGAGAATACTTGGAAAAGTTCACTGTTCCATTTTATTCTTCTGATAAGCCTAAGCAGGAAAAGAAATTGCCTACGCCATTGTCCTATAAGTTTAAACTAAGGAGCGCTGAAGTAAGTTATTCAATCTATTCGACTGCACGGTTGGCGCGGTGGCCGCGCAACGTGTCGCGGGTTCGATTCCCGCTCGGAACAATTCTTTGTGTGATCCACAGATTTTTGTTCCGCGTCTGGGTGTCATATGTGTATGTGAACTTGTGTGTTTGTAAACGCACCCATGACACAGGAGAAAATCCTAGTGTGGGGCAATGTTTTAAAAAAAGTCTAGAACAAAGTATACCTACAGACCAACTCACTTTGCTTACGTACCTACCTAGGTACCTTATTTCATTTAGGTATGGTCTTATTTGGGTCACTTGTATCTACATAATTATGTATTAATAATATACGGAATGTACTACCTAATTCAGATTTTTTTTATTAATTGCAGAGTCTTGAAGCTCTATGCAAGAGCACAAGCTTTGTGAGTACTTACATTTTAGCAATATACATTTTTTTTTATTTACTTTTTATATTATAATGCTTGCCTACGCTGACTCGCGGGTGCGGATGCGAAATATCAAACAATAATAATTTTATGAAATGACATCAAAGTGTACAAAACCAAGTTGCGGTATAAGCAGCAGAATGTCGGATCATCATATAACATTACGTAACATAACATCACGCCTTTTATCCCCGAAAGGGTAGATAGCTAGAGGTACACATTATAAATAAATAAATAAATAAATAAATCTTTATTGTCGCAAAAGTTATACAGTTCTTTGGGTGACTTATATCTAGACACAGGTTTAAAATGTAATGTGCTATAGGTACTGATGCTGTCTCCCAAACTAAGCGAAAGCTTGTATTTTGGGTGGCAGTGTTCAGTCATTTAATGAGGCTCAATGATTACTGTTTAATATTTATGCATGCGGGTGAACGTTGTCGCTGGAGATTCAAGAGAAAAAAAATAAAAAAAAATAATTAAAAAGATAATAATGCATATACATGTACATATCACTAATGTGGACCGTGGATTGTTGAGTGATAATGAGTATAAGTGAGTGTCTGTAGTGTGGGTGTAAGTGTGTAGGGATGAGTGGGATTTTGTGTTTGTGTTGTATGGAAGTGTGGTGTTATGTAGATAATGGTGACGTGTGTTTGTATGTGAGGGTTATTCTATGCGATGTATGTCAGTAATTCTTCCGTTTTTTTATAGTCTTTATTTTGGAGCCAGTTAGTCAGGCTGGTTTTAAGTTTGTGTCTGCTTAGTCCAGCGATATTCAGTTTCTTGTGGATGTCGTTGTATAATTTAATGCTCATATTTTTAAATTGTCTTCTGGCAAAGGAGGTCTTACAGAGAGTGCGTGGGCATACAGACTTCCCGTTACGTTTGCCTGGATCGGGACGGGGGATGCTTCGGTGTCTTCTCATGGTGGACTTGAGCACAAAGAGCTGTCGAACTGTTAAGACCTTGCAGTCTGAATAAAGTTTTTCGGTGGAGTATCTATAAGGCTTTTTGGTCATTACTTTGAGCACAGCTCTCTGTGCTCTTTCCAGTCTGAGAAGGAGCGTCTTGCCAGCGCCACCCCAAACCGGAATGCAATACTGAATAATGGACTGACAAAGGGCCAGATAGATGAGTTTTAGTTTCTCAAATGGAACACAGTCTCTGAGTGTTTTAAATATATGTATAAGTCTCCTCACTCTGGAGGTGACTGTGTCTATCTGCTTGTCCCACCTCAGTCCACCATCAATATATACACCTAGGTACTTGACATGCTCGGCTCGTTCGATTTGTTGGCATGTACAGACTTCCCGAAGAGAGCAATTATGGGCTATGATAGAGAAGTTTTGTGGTGGGGAATTAGTTTTCCTGATCGAGAAGGCAACATAGTGTGTTTTGGAGAGGTTTAACGTCAGCAGGTTGTTTGAAAGCCAGTTCATGATTTTAGATAGGGAATATTCGGCTATCTCCTTTACGGCATTCCAGTTCGGACCCCAGACGAAGATTGCTGTATCGTCTGCATACGTAAAGATGTTAGTGTTTGGAAGAGAGAT